TGTGATATCATTAATGCAGTACCTTGTCCTCTACGGTCAATTGTTATGGATGAAATATCTGGAATTTGATGATGTTCTTTTTGTTTTTGTTTTCATGTTCAACAAATGGGATATCAGTAATGCATTACCTTGTGCTCTACGGTCATTTTTTAAATGAAATATCACGAGGACAACAGTATGATTTTTACTACTTTCACATGGACAGAACTATGCAAGGAGAACAATACATTTTATACTTTACTTTCACGTTTAGCAATGCAGTACGAGAAGATCTATAATTTGCAAACTTGCATTTCTTCAATGTCAGGTGTACAATAATTGTGCGGTTTACTTTATGTTCAACATTGCAATATAGCAAAAAAATACAGCACTTTGTTTGTACTCCACGCTCATGCTTAAATGAAGTAGTATACTTGTAAATTATTTTGTTTACCTGACTTTCATGTAAAAAAAAAGTATCAGAACTCAGGAGTACACATTTTGCAAAATTACTTAAATTCATATTTAACAATGCATTATCAGGAGATATATACATATAGTTTGTTCAATTTTAATTTGGCCATTTTTTGCATTGTTAAATGTTATATCAAGAGTACACAACAGTGTTTTTTTATTCATGTTTAACAACTTAAAGGTACAGCAATGTGTGTAGTATTCTTTCATCATTTCAAAAGTACAACAATTCATTTCCTTTCTTTATAATACACAATGCAATATTAAGTATAATGATAATTATTACTTAAATTCAGTTCTTTCTTCTTTCTTTTATTTTCCTAATATTCTTTATTTTTATTCACCGTGCAAGAATATGATTTCAGACGTGAATTTCTCTGACGGCTTCCAACCAAATATTGTTCGTTCAACGTTCAACATTTTTGTTGTAGATTGTCAAAACCCACCCCCCCCCCCTCTCATTTTTTGTGGTACTTTTATTTTACGAGTCCACCCATTCATGCGTCAACTTATCTTTTATTGTATGACGTATACAAACTTTCCTCCAATCACCCCCGTATCATTCCTGCACATAGTGTTGTGTCAAACAATAGTACTCAACAGGTAGAATGATGAGTTTACACATTGCGTCGCACTGTATACTACATTTGGGTCGAATTACGTAACATAATACACTTTTAGAGATTTGTTATGTTGAGCAAAAAGAAATCAGATACAATCAAGATTCTTTGGAGACCAGAGTAGTCATAGAGAGAGAGAGAGAGAGAGAGAGAGAGAGAGAGAGAGAGAGAGAGGGGGGGGGGGAGGGAGAGAGAGAGAGAGAGTGTGTGTGTGTTTGCCAAAAATGAAACATGGTTGAAGTGTATATATATACATGTAGACAGATGACATGATCCAGGGATCTGATACATCAGTAACATTCACTTACTGATTGTCGGTTTGTGCCAGTTTGGCACAATTGTCAGTTCCGAAATTCACCAGCCCCTTTTGAACTTCCGTCCGGTAAAGCAGCACCCATCCTGTAGCCGTTGCAAGTGAGGACCAAGTCCAAAAACCGTATGTTGATCGATGAAGTGTATTATAAGAAGTAAATGTAATGATAAGATTTGAGTAAAATGCAAAATATTTGCCTCCCTGGTCATCAAAATGAGGCTCTGAGTTGTAAGATCGTTGTTATAATGCTAAAGATTGATTTGCAATGAAACTGTTATAAAATGAATGTTCAAATCTTGACTGCATATTGTATATGTGGTCAAAGAATCTGGAGACTGTGTGTTGCCCAAAATGTGTTAAGATTGAGTCGACAATTTGTATCAGGTTAAATAATTATATTTCATACAGATTGCCAACCTTTCCCACAACATTCTGTAGCCAGTTAACTGACCCGTGCAAGAACCAGTTAGGTGTAGTGAGTCGTGCCAGAGCCAGCGAGGTGAAGTGAGTCGTGCCAGAGCCAGTGAGGTGAAGTGAGTCGTGCCAGAGCCACTGATGAGTAGTGAGTTGTGCCAGTCAGTGAGGTGTAGCGAGTCCTGCCATAGCCAGTGAGATGTAGTGAGTCGTGTCAGAGCCAGTGAGGTGTAGTGAGTCGTGCCACAGCCAGTGAGGTGTAGTGAGTCGTACCAGAACCAGCGAGGTGTAGTGAGTCGTGCCAGAGCCAGTGAGGTGTAGTGAGTCGTACCAGAACCAGCGAGGTGTAGTGAGTCGTGCCAGAGCCAGTGAGGTGTAGCAAGTCATGCCAGAACCAGTGAGGTGTATTGAGTCGTGCCAGAGCCAGTGAAGTTAAGTGAGTTGTGCCAGGGCCATTGAGATGTAGTGAGTCGTGCTAGGGACACTGAGGTTTAGAGAGTCGTGCTAGAGCCATTGAGGTGTGGTGAGTCGTGCCAGAGCCAGTGAGGTGTAGTGAGTCGTACCAGAACCAGTGAAATGTAGTGAGTTGTACCAGAGCCACTGAGGTGTAGTGAGTCGTACTAGAGCCAGTGAGGTGTAGGGAGTCGGGTTAGAGCAAGTGAGGTGTAGAGAGTCGTGCTAGAGCCAGTGAGGTGTGGTGAGTCGTGCCAGAGCCAGTGACTTGTAGTGAGTCGTGCTAGAGCCAGTGAGGTGTAGTGAGTCGTGCCAGAACCAGCGAGGTGTAGTGAGTCGTGCCAGAGCCAGTGAGGTGTGGCAAGTCATGCCAGAACCAGTGTGGTGTATTGAGTCGTGCCAGAGCCAGTGAGGTTAAGTGAGTTGTGCCAGAGCCACTGAGGTGTAGTGAGTCGTGCTAGAGACACTGAGGTTTAGAGAGTCTAGCTAGAGCCATTGAGGTGTGGTGAGTCGTGCCAGAGCCAGTGAGGTGTAGTGAGTCGTACTAGAACCAGTGAAATGTAGTGAGTTGTACCAGAGCCACTGAGGTGTAGTGAGTCGTACCAGAGCCAGTGAGGTGTAGGGAGTCGTGTTAGGGCAAGTGATGTGTAGAGAGTCGTGCTAGAGCCAGTGAGGTGTGGTGAGTCGTGCCAGAGCCAGTGACTTGTAGTGAGTCGTGCTAGAGCCAGTGAGGTGTAGTGAGTCGTGCCAGAACCAGCGAGGTGTAGTGAGTCGTGCCAGAGCCAGTGAGGTGTGGCACGTCATGCCAGAACCAGTGTGGTGTATTGAGTCGTGCCGGAGCCAGTGAGGTTAAGTGAGTTGTGCCAGAGCCACTGAGGTGTAGTGAGTCGTGCTAGAGACACTGAGGTGTAGAGAGTCGTGCTAGAGCCATTGAGGTGTGGTGAGTCGTGCCAGAGCCAGTGAGGTGTAGTGAATCGTACCAGAACCAGTGAAATGTAGTAAGTTGTACCAGAGCCACTGAGGTGTAGTGAGTCGTACCAGAGCCAGTGAGGTGTAGGGAGTCGTCTTAGGGCAAGTGCGGTGTAGAGAGTCGTGCTAGAGCCAGTGAGGTGTGGTGAGTCGTGCCAGAGCCAGTGAGTTGTAGTGAGTCGTGCTAGAGCCAGTGAGGTTTAGTGAGTCGTGCCAGAGCCAGTGAGGTAAAGTGAGTTGTGCCAGAGCCACTGAGGTGTAGTGAGTTGTGCTAGGGCCAGTGAGGTGTAGAGAGTCGTGCAAGAGCCAGTGAGGTGTGGTGAGTCGTGCCAGAGCCAGTGAGGTGTAGTGAGTCGTGCCAGAGCCACTGAGTTGTAGTGAGTCTTGCCAGAGCCAGTGAGGTGTAGTGAGTCGTGCTAGAGCCACTGAGATGTAGTGAGTCGGGCTAAGGCCAGTGAAGTGTAGTGAGTCGTGCCAGAGCCACTGAGGTGTAGTGAGTCGTGCCAGAGCCAGTGGGGTGTAGGAAGTCGTGCTAGGGCCAGTGAGGTGTAGAGAGTCGTGCTAGACCCACTGAGGTGTAATGAGTCGTGCCAGAGCCAGTGAGGTATAGGGAGTGGTGCTAGAGCTCGTGAGGTGTAGTGAGTCGTGCCAGAGCCAGTGAGGTGTAGTGAGTCGTGCTAGACCCACTGAGGTGTAATGAGTCGTGCCAGAGCCAGTGAGGTGTAGGAAGACGTGCCAGAACCAGTGAGGTGTAGAGAGTCGTGCTAGAGCCAGTGAGGTGTAATGAGTCGTGCCAGAACCAGTGAGGTGTAGTGAGTTGTGAGGTGCAGTGAGTCGTGCTAGGGCCAGTGAAATGTAGTGAGTCGTGCCAGAGCCAGTGAGGTGAATTGAGTCGTGCCAGAGCCAGTGAGGTGTAGAGAGTCGTGCCAGAGCCAGTGAGGTGTAGTGAGTCGTGCCACAGCCAGTGAGGTGTAGAGAGTCGTGATAGAGCCAGTGATGTGTTGTGAGTCGTGCCAGAGCCACTGAGGTGTAGTAAGTCGTGCCAGAGCCACTGAGGTATATTGAATCGTGCTAGGGCCAGTGAGGTGTAGTGAGTCGTGCCAGAGTCAGTGAGGTGTAGTGAGTCGTGCCAGAGCCAGTGAGGTGTAGAGAGTCGAACCAGACTTAAGTTTATTGTCGATTCATATAAAAGCTTCTTCAAATTGAGTAAATACAGAATTATAAACCTAGGAAAAAACTGGTGTATTTTTGTTTTGTAAGGACTAAAACTAAGACGTGTAACTCGAGTATCTTCGGAAAGAATACTCATTCCCATAAGTATCCTAAATGTTTATACATGTATATGTAAAACGAATGTTATAATCATACGCAAAACTCCAGCAAATTCCACGTGTGTTTATTTCTGTGATAGTGTATATTATGTAAATATATATGTAAACCCATGTTAGTTCAAACAGACTTGAGAAGTGTTTTTTTTTATTTGGATGTTAGAGTTGAAATAAATCCCTGGGCCACCACAATCATGCGAAGTTGAGAGTTAGTTTGTTTATATCAAGCCCGAATTAAAATAGGTGGTTGCATCGATGATGTTGATGTGTAAGGGTTGTTGTTGCTGTTGTTGTCATCCTGCCGGGGAATGGAAATAACCTCTTTGCAGGATATTTTGTTGGTTTATATATGATGAAAACGGCTATCAACTTGATAAAGTGCTTAGTATTTTGTGTGCTTTATTATAATTACACTCAATAGCTGAAGTCGTAGCTTTCAGTTGAGAAGGTCTACCAAATTTTCCAACTGCTCTTTGCCCCTTTTTTCTTGTGATTCTGTGGAATGGGGGCATACGTCTCCTTGAATGCTATGTTTCTGGCAGAGTGTGAGATGGAAATTCCATCAAAAAGATCTTTCAATGTTTGTCCCATATGCTTTAGGCCAAAGAGCTCTTCCTGAAGCTTCATCACTTCCTCTGGAGTGTGTATGTTTTCGTCACCTTCTTTATCGATTGCCAGATCCAAAATGATCCTTTCTTGTTCATATTGTGTCTTCCTTGTTTCCATTGTATCCAGAAGAGTTTTGTTTCGGATTTCATCGGGTTTGTGTCTCTCCTGTTTAATAGACATGTCAAGATAGTCTCCAACTGCGTCATTGTAGGGTATGAGAGCATTTGCTTTGAGGAATGAGCCATACTTGGCGCTAGTTTTCATGATGATGTTTTCCTCTTCCTCCAATTCCGCCTTTTTTGTAGCAATTGCTTCTTTGAAAGCTTCCTTGGTTTCTTTAGCGCTTTTCTTCTGATTGATTTGTGTTTGCACTTCTTCAGAAAGGAATTCCGTGGAAACAAGCTGAAGGTCATACGTCATGTGCATATGAGTGTTGTAATGGTGACCACACTGGATACATTTCGTTCGTGGCACCAGGACGTTACGTATCGCTCGCACAACTTTCCCCACAATAGAAGAAGCAGTCCCGCGTATGCAATCACAACCTTGTAGTCTTGCATCATTTGTTGTTTCCGTTGAAATTCCGCTCAGAGTACACTGATCATGGCATATTTGATCGTATATTGTGTTTTGCGTACTACTCGCTCCGACTGGGACATATCGGACACATTCTGGAGCTGCACAGACTGTTCTGGGATATTTTAGCTCCACACGCTTCAGGTCAAATCCAGAAAACTTCAGTTTGGCTTTCAAGCTGTCCATATCTATGTCGACCAGGTCAATTTGTCTCGTTGCTTCTTTGCCTTGCTGTACAGTTTGTTGGATTGTCTTGGCCACTTCTGCCAAGGGTTTGCTCATGGCCAAGATGATTCTTCGTGACTCATTCATGCTCAAAGTATTCCGAATTTTGTGAGGCCCCAAAGAGCTGATGTGCTCAAATAGCTTCTTGGTTTGTTCAACAGACTTGTTCCAGCTTTCAGCATAAGTGTTTATTTCTACTTGGCTGAATTTCACTCTGTTTTTCACACAAGCCAAGAAGCGGAAAGGCTCGTTATCAAAACAAAAGTAGTTGCTCGGAGTAGCTTGAATTCCAACCTGTTTGTTCCTGAGCTCTGTGTTGAGGGTAGGCAAGGTGTCTCCAGGCTGGTAGAATGTAGCTCGAGCATTGGTGAAGCAAAATACAATATTGTGTTTGGCTGACGAATGCAGATGGGCCAAGAGTTCTTGGATGCAAAAGCGGAACATTACTGTTAGACGTGACTTGTTTGGCTTGAGAAGTATGCACACAGCATGAATCTCCTGGTAGTAGGTCAGATGCGATAGTATGTTGTCAAAGTTTTTCCGATCTTGTTCTATACCTTCACTAGCTCCTATTCCTGGTGTATCAATCAAGCGAACGATGTCTCCTCCTACGTGGAAGAGATAGGAACGTGGCTCTTTGGTTGCAGATTTTCCTTCTTCCATGTTCTCATTTGTGTCACTTTCCCCAACCATTATCTTCGTTTCCTCCCCGTCCCGTGTAAAGGTGAAGCTGGACGGTATTAAAACTTGGAATTCCTTGGCATTCATAGCTTCCTCAAGACCATCATAATGAAGGTAGTTAATAAAACCGTTGATCCATGTAGATTTTCCAACACCTGTCTCACCCAAGATCAAGATGTTTCTCTCCTTCAAGGCCCGAAGATTTGACAACTCCGCAGAGAGAATATCGTGTTGACACTCGATGTATTTCATGCCGTGACCCTTCTCATTACAACGCCAGAGTGATTCGTTGGGGTCAGATTGTCCGCATTTGCAGTAAAACAGTTTATCTTCTATGCCATATTCAACCAACTCCCTGCATTTGTTACACTTCCAAGTGAAAGGGTCACCTGAACATTGACCATTTCCGGCCAAAGCATTTGGGCATCTTATCCTGACATATGCTCGGTTGTGTGGGCGCATTTGCTTGTAAACTGGTCTTATGATTTTTATCAGACACATCTCAGAATCTTCGCCTTCTTTGGCGTACAGGTCTACCGATGTTTGAACAGCATTTTCAAAGCTATGAATGGTTGTTTTCGTTTCGCCAGATGGCCAAATATCCTCTCTTAGGTCTTGGTCTACAACAATGAATTTGAAGTCCTTGTCATGAGCATGTGTTGTTTGTAGTCGTTCAAAGAACTCGCAATTTTTCTCATGAAGATCGGTTTTTACATTCTCGTCGCCAGTCTTGTAGAGAACATAGACCATTCTGCTGTCGTCCACGGTAACTTCATCTTTTTTTCCGATGTAGATGATTCCTTTCTTTTTCCATGGTTTGATAGATTTTAGTTTGCTCAGATCTTTTTGAAATCCTTTCATGTGAAAGTTGTACCTGGAAACGGAAAATGTCGCAGACAATTCCTTATCCAGGAATGCCTCAATTTTAGAGACGTCTTCATTTCCCGACCTGACTTTCTTCACCAAATCTTGAAGCTCAGCCTTAAAATCAGATTCTTGCTTTATGAACTTCTTAAAGATATCATCAATCCCAGCTAGGGATCCTTCAGGGACATATTCGGCGCTGGCATGCAGATCTTTGTGAATATCGTAGAGAGATTGTTTTTTTTGGGTGATTCCCTCCACAGCCTGTGCACACTTTCTGATGCTGTCGTCATTGATTGATGTGTATTGTTTTTGAAATTGTATCTGGAGCTTACACATCTTGACGACAGCATCCAGTGGTTTCAACATGTAAAGCAATGGAACACCCTTCCCTGTGTTTGTGTTTTTAACTAGACGTGGAAAATTTCGCGCTAGTTTAAGAGCACCTTCGAATGTCACAGGCAGATCCTTGTCAGGATCCTTGTCAGGATCCAACACATCCGCTTTAAATTGGAAAGTGAATTTTTTGTGATTTTCTTTGTTTTCATCATCATATGATGCTTTTGCAGACCCTTTGTCAGCAACCAAACGTTTGAGTTTTTCAAGCTCTGCGCTCAAGGCCCCTTTGACGTCAGTTACACTTTCATCTTCTTTGTTTTCGCACTCACAAGTAACCGAACAAACTGCTCCCCAATCAATAGCATAAACCACGTGGGTTGCATTAACAGTTTGCCCATTTGAAGGTGACAGAATTTTCAGGTCGATCTTATCTTTGTTCTGGCGAAGCATGATCTCTTCATTGACTGTTCTCAGCTTGTAGATTAAACTCATACTTTGAGCTCTAGCGCTCTTTCTTTCCTCCCCTAGGTAGGATCCTGATCCACTCAACTTGATCAGGCCGGCCAAGACACTCACCTGAAGCTCTGCCTCTACATTCAGTTTGTTGAATTTTTCTTGTATGTTGTCTGACATTACAAGCTCGATCGAGGTATCCCCAAGATCCTCTGTATCAACTGCATCGTCTTCAAGCTTTGGGCCAAACAGAGTATCATCAACCTTAAAAAAAGAAATTAATGTCATCTTAGATATCTTAAATGTTTTGTAATTGACCATTTAGTCATCATTAATACCACCTAAAAGCTACGATCAGGCAAGGAAAAAATTGAGGCCATTAATGAGGCCATATAAACAACACAACCTATCCAATCATATGATATCCACATACCTTAAAATAAAGGAACATTTTGGATTTCGTACAATTTGCATCAAAAATCAAAATTTCAACCAATCTCAGTTACACATTTTGATGCCACTGAATTTCGATGCAACTAAATGTTCATCTACAACTGGAGCTTGGCCATGCTGGAACAATGAAATAGATCTTTGCGGTTCTCAGGTTATATGATCGTGTTTGTCCATACTACCATCCATGTAAAAGGTTTGATGAAAATCTATCACTGGATGGTGATGTTATGCTGGCGAGAAATATTGAATGCATGAATATACAAATTATGTACTTTATATGCAAATTTATGGACGGTGTTATCGTCACCGATAAGTTTTCTTCATTGATAAGCTAATCATTGTAATTCACATTAGCTTAATTTGAATAGAATGTCTTTCATGTGGCCTTTTATCATCTTAATACATTATTATGCATCGTTGCTTAATTTAAATGGAATGTCAAGTCACATGGTATTTTTCAACCAGTAGCATTGTCGAATACAATTGTCAGATGTCATCATCATCATCTAGCGGTCACTTTTAGTATGGGTATTTAAGTTTGGGAATGTTCAACACGCTTCAGTCTTCATCACGTCACAGAAAGCTATGAAGACTGTAAGTTTCGTCCTTATTTTTTGCACTTCAATATATATTTTATGTAATTTGGTCATTTGACATGGTGGTGTTATCGTATTTTGTGTGTATGTACCTGTGAATTTTGGCTTACTTTGAATTTGTATCGGTGTTTGCAAGCGAGTCGTTCATGGAACTCACACATCTACGTGTGCTTGTGGACGCGTGCATTCGGTTTACCAGTTTATCAGTTACGTTATTCATCATACCTAATGTTCAGCGCTGTTATCTGTTAATTTATGCTTGTATTTACAGCACCAGAAGGCCACTGTGAACCCAGAAAACCTCTGTGTACCCCAGTAAACTGCATAGATACCTGATGCCCATTCATTGTGTGTAAGGACGGGTGTTGGCCTCGCAAACGATTTGTGATTTGCATTTAAATCAATCGTGTATAACTGAAATCTTCACGAAGATACTGTATCTGAACCTGTGAAACTCTGAACACTGTGCTTGAACGGAATATCTCATTTATTGTAAACATAATTGTACTTGTGTTTAATATCTTACTTTGTGTCCTTTGGTGTTTACTATTTTTCTGTACAATATAATGCACTTGTTAGTAAGTTATTTTCAGTTTCACCTGCCTATTTTATAGGCTGAGTAATAACACGAAGGGGAAGGGATCCTGGTGTCACTTCATCCATTTGTCGGTGTCACTCTTACACTTCGTGACAATGAACACAATCGTCATCTCGACATCCCACTGAGAACTACCCTCATTCTAGCATCACATCTACTTATCCTCGTCGTTGTCACCTCTGGGCTTTGCTTGGTCATCGCTTTTCCTTTCTACCGGACATCGCAGCACATCGTAGTCTACTCTGCTCAGCCTACCACCGTCATCGAGACCTCGTCCTGCCGTTCTCGCCTAGTCATCCTACGAGAAGTTGAGACCCTCGCATCATGTCGACGGTTGCACAGCTCAAGACAACTATATGACTTGAGCCAAGAGAGCCGTGACCAAGCGAGTCAATAAGATAAGACAGTCTATAGCCGAATACAGTTTAAGTTGTCCATAATGAATATCATTCGCTGCTTGTTAAAGATGATGATGTTGATGGTAGCAAAGCTTATTTTTTACAAGGAACAGGACATATATATATATATATATATATATATATATATATATATATATATATATATATATATATATATATATATATATATATATATATATATATATATATATATATATATATATATATATATATATATATATATATATATCCGTCCTTCACTCGACTAAGGGTATTTCTAAGAATATAAAGATTGGAGTTGATCGTGATAATGTCTCAAGTACACCCCAATCAGGTACCGTACATATGGGAATTTATCTCGCGAAGACTATGGACTAAAAATGCGCTTTATAAGAATGGTTTATTATGGTTTGTTGAATTTTCCTAGATTGAGTTGCAAGCGTTTGATGAAAATCCTCTGCATTATCACCTATTATGTATTGGAGCATTTGAAGTCAATTTTGATAAAGTATGCGATGACAGTGCCCTCAAATTAGCTAGGCTCATATGCAATGTATTTATTATTATTATAAGGGTTGTGGAAAGGCTGTACAGCCCATTTTCAACCACTTTGCGTATAAAATACTACATCTGGTTCCTCTAAAGAAGTTAAAAGATGTTGTCTGTTGATTGGAGGACCCAGCGGGTATTCCCAGGCACATTCTATCTTAGGCAGTCGTTTCGGACTGGTAATAACTGAACGTTTGGTTAAGGGACTTACGTTTGGTAAACAATTACGGTCCCCAGAAGAAATACAACAGGTTGCAGATGACTTGAAAACAGCTTTGCTTACACTTGGTCAGTAAGATACGAGGTTAGGCCTAAGTCAAAGTCTGTCACCCTTAAGGTAGTAGGCGAATTACCAAACTATGTTGAGATAAACTGGAAAAGTTTGCCTTAAAGTCAGTTAAGTTTTAACAGCATTATCATGGATTTAGAGAACTGGTTGAATCCCCCCACAAAGGTTTTGGCCGATTCTACTAGCGAATACTTACCCGTAGAGTATTACTACATACGCATTATTTCCTAGAGGGCGTCAGCCATACGTTAATATTTATTACCCACAGTACCTTGCGGCCCGCCCGTCATACTTCCTCGTTTCTCGAGCGTAAGGTGCGTAAAGTGAACGCGTGCGTCAGAGTGGGGAGGCGGATGGGCACTCTACGGCCGGTTAGTATTCTCTAGTAGAATCGGCCCACACCTTGTTTTTTTCTTTTTTTGGGGGGGGAGGGGGAGGGGGTGTTCTACTGTGCTCTACTTGATTGTAGAGTATTAATACTACATATGCAGGGTAGCACAGCTTTAGCTAGGTAGGTTCGAGTACGACATGGGAGTGTACAATGTGTATTAAGGCGCCGGGGCTGCATGCAAGGAAGCGTGAACCCAAAGCCAACAAGATTAAACCCACTAAAGCAAACCAGAGAAATCGGCTGTTACCAAAACCGGGCAAGCTGTCCCTGATTGGTAATGTTGGGCGCCAGCGGGGGAGGAACCAGATCCGGTTGCGCCGCTGGGGCAGTAGGGAGGGCTGCAGAACGGTTCTGCTGTCAACTTGCAGCACGTCCCTGAAATAACACGAGATGAATGTGTTGGAGGATTTCCAACGTGCCGCTTGCATGATATCTGCAAGGAGCACTCCTTTAAAAAAGGGACCGAAGATCTCGCCACGCTGCGAACTTCTTGAGCCTGCACTTTGTTCAGGATAGGCCAGTCAGACGATGGGAGTAGTATGGCCGTCACGCCAGCGAGCGACTGTATCGCAGGATGTTGGACGATGTGGTGAAACTGCGGTCGTGAACATAGCCCGTTGGTCACTGCAGATCAGTGTTTTCCAATTGAGGTACAACTGGGGGTTCAGATAGGAAACGGGATCTTGTCCTCTTGGACAGAGGAGAAGGTCTTTATTAAGTCAGGAACGAACATGTCAGGCGAGAGAACATTGCCGACTTGTTCTTTGTGAGGAAAGAGCGATGGGAGGTCAGGCGGACTCCGCCGCACAGTGGACCAGAATGCAGCAAAGTGAGCCAAAATTAAATACTCATTAAAAAAGCTTAAAGTAGAAAAGCGGTTTGCAGACCCGTATATTTCAATGGAAGTATTTTTAAACTTCTGCCTGACGCTATCAAAATACTGCTTTCTGATTGGACGAGGCAAATTATCATTGCAATACCAATACCAAGACAGATTCAAATTGATTATTAAAACGCTAAGGGGTTTCTGGACCTAAGAAATTAGTATGACGTGATAAAAATACTGTGTTTAGTTGGTTGAGCCATTTTTCCTTTCGAAACATAGGAATATTCATATTAGTAGAGTGATTTTTGAAACCTTTATTGGTTTTACAGACACGTAACGATCAATGAAAGCATCTTAAAATGTGTGTGAAGTCATCAAAATAATGTTTTCCGATTGGCTTAGAAAAATATTCATTGTAATAACAAGGCAGATTCGTACTACATTGATTATTTAATCGTATAAGGGGTTTCTGGACCTAAGAATTTTAATAAGGGCATTTTTTTATCTTCTGTTACGTCAGCAATATACTGTTTTCTGATTGGTTGAATCAATTATCCAATCAAAATAGCCGGACAGATTCAATCTTTAACTGATTGTTGAAACCTAAATTGGTTTGGGGAAACGTATTGAAATGCTGCACTTTGTTTGGCGGGTTAAAATATTATTTTAATTTTAATATGGATGTTATCTATGTGCTACACAATTGACATTAGAGGTATATGAACTCATACAATTTATTGTTGACTAGACACGTTCACAACTATAATAATTATACAAATGTCTTTCCATTGATTTATTGTGACGTAAACTCTCAACGTGATGTGTGAGTTTTCTACTCTGTATGAATAAATATTGCTCAAATTACAAAGTCCTTTTTTTCGTGTTTTATTTATTATTTTTTTTTTTTTACTTTTACACGTTTTTATGTAAAGGGTAAACAATGTATACAGTACCACGTTTATGCAGTTTATTAAAAACGACGAACATGGGGCATTTATACGCTGTGTAGCAAATTCTGGCAGATATAATTAGCGTCAACGAAAACCTTAGGCTTGGGTATCGGTGTAAAGGGTAAAATTAAAATCTTGGCAAGAATCGCTTGGAATCCAAACTATCGTGCTAATTTTTATCACAAAATGCATATTTTGTGTTTTTTTGGTCAAATGTACTGATCATAATTTACAAAATATACGTTTTATAACATTATGAATTTTATTTTCTAATTTGGCTACTAATAGGTATTACTGCACGCAGTACCAAGTTGACTGCTTTCTCTGTCATAAAGTCATAACGAGGTTTTTTAAGTTGCCACATTTGATTTTTTGAAGAGCAGCATTCGTACTGTTTCCTGTTCAAAGGGGAATATGACAAAAAAATACGTAAACAAAATACGGGTGAAAAATATTCATCAGGATGTTTTCTTCCTCAAACAAAATGATTGAATATCGCTCAAATTACAAAAGTGAAACTTTTTACTTTTGCACATAATTTTTTATATTAACAGTATATACATGTATATACAGAATCATGTGCAGGTCATCAAAAACGTCGAACATGAAGCCTTTAAATCGCCTGTTATACGCGGTAAAGCACTTTCTAGCAAAAACACTTGAATTGGCGGGAATCCTAACTATCGCACTAATTTTATCAAATAATGCACTTTTTTTTTACATTTTGAATTTTATTGTCTAATTTGGCTAATAATTAGAACTGCACGCAGTAACAAGTTGACTGCTTTCTTCCTCATAAATCAAAACACGTTTTTCAAAGTTGCCACGTTTATCATTTTCAGAGCAGATTTTGCACTTGTGTAAATTCACAGGGGTATGTGACAATTTCAAAACTTACAAAAAAGTAAAATATGGGTTTATATACATTGTATACATGTATATATAAGTTTAGAAAGTTGAAAATGTCAGTCACTAATTTTGAATTTTGGCACACTTTGAGGCGATTCTGGCCCACTGTGCGCCGCCCCCCCCCCTAATGTCCTTGACCTAAGGTCGTGGAGTTCACTCATGCGCTGCACTGTGGCTGCCGTCAGGAGGAAGCTGTTGTCAAGGAAGCGTTGAGCAGTGGCCTAGTCCAGAACCAGGCGAGGGCTGGCAAGACCCACCCTCGATCTCACGACGGTAGGAGTGTCCGTCTGGAGGGTCTTGAAACATACGTGCCTCGCCGGAGGTGTGTGAGGACGGTACAAATCGGAAATCGAAGACCCATCCCTAAACCCTGAATGAACAGTCGCAACTGCATAACGATAGTTCAGTCATTATACCCGCAAAACCCTGTTGGAAGAGGTGGAGAAATAAAGCAAACTTCGGTTAGGGTTGCCGCAAAAGGATCCACCGTACGCCGTACAGACCATTTATAGAAATGTCGTAATCGGCTGTTGCGAACCATTCGGGTTGACAAATGCTACGGACTGCGATGGTGGCAGCCGCTTGAGAAGGCAGAGAAATGGCAGACGGTTGTCGGAGCCAAATAAGCAATCAGGAGGACCCTGCAGGGATCCTGCTCGAAGTATTTGGGTGAGGAGGGAGATCAAGTAAAACGCGTAGGCAAACAAGTTCGTCCACGCAAAGGGGAGGGCGTTAGCATACAACGCCTTTGGCTCCTGGGATATTGAACAGTACCCCGGGAGCTGGTGGTTAAGTAATACTTCGAACAGGTAGATGATCGGGACGGTCAAACTGTGCTTAGATTGCCCGCATGACTACGATTCGCCCATGGGGCGAATTCAGCCCCTGGAGAGTACATCGGTTGTGGTGTGTTCTTCGCCCGCCAGATGTACCTCTTCTTGAGATACATGCCATGCTTGCGACACCAATGCCGTAGTTGCCATGTGAGTAGGCACAGGCACAGGCACCAAAACAAGATAACTTGTGTCAGCGCCCTCATGTGGTCGCAGACAGAAAGGCATTTATTCACAGTAGATTTCCCCTGACTTCAGATCACCGATATGTAGGACACCACAGTCGTGTCGTCGCAGTGGGTGACAACAGATTGACCCATGTACTATGCTTTAAAAGCGTTGAAGGGTGATAAAGACCACTATCATTTTGATAAAATTGTTGTGGCGGATGGCCTTTAGTAAGTCCAGAGACCTGCCGTTTGGTGATAAACCATCACCGTGCCCCAACCCATCAGAGACGTATCTGTTGTGATTGTCATGGTGGCTCGAATAGGCTGCAAAAACCCTGGCTGATAGATCAACCACTGGGGATGTAGCCGCGTATTCTGTGAACACGGTACCACGTGAGATACAGGGTGGAACCGTTGACCAAATGGGACAAAAATAAAGTTGAAGCGGGCCCCTATACAGGCGGCACAGCAAAACCAAGTCCATGAGATTTGCCGATAGGCCAAGGGGGAAGCGCATTGACAAACATTGGCGATTCCCCCCCCCCGTGTCGGGTGAGCCGTGTCCCATTGTACATGTAGATCGGCGACGGCACCGAAATAACTGGGCCATTGGGATGGGAATGGCTGGGAGTCGCACACGTTGATGAGAAACCCAGGCCCTTGGAGATTGAGCGGGGCTGACAGACTGCGTGAGCCTTTGATGCCCACTATACGCCGAAGATGCCCACTATTCGCCGATGATTAATCCGTTGTCGAGGTTTATGAACATCTATAGACCTTGGCGACGGAGAGCACTGGCCAGTGTCTTCATTATTCTGGTTTAGACCTCCAGTCTGGCAGGCGTGTGGGGGCACTTGTGAACTCCAGGCAGTTGCCAAGTTCGACGGTGTCGAGTACACACCGGACTGAAGTGATTTGATCCCAGGACCCTGTCGAAAGAGGCCAAACGGGCTCGCACATATCCGGTACGTGATAAGGGGGTCATTGTCTGTGGGAATAGTCTCATCTGCCAGCTGAACTGAAGCCAAGAAGTGGCGGCAGAGGCTGAAGGATAGAAGGTGGCCAGGGATTTGAAGGAATGGAAACCAATGTTTGACGGCAGTGGATTAACTTTCATTAAAATGATCTTCTCCGTAAGCGTAGCAGTCTGAAACTGGCCGGCAAAAACGTCTTACACTGGCCTTGGAAAGGAAGCGTCCGAGACATTAGTGAGTGCCATCGGAGGGCAGAAATATGGTATCAAGAAATGCTGCCCGCCGTGCCTCTAACTCGAGTAAATTAATGTGAACTGCCCGAAGTGTATTAGGCGTGGGGTTCACAGAACTCCAATACGTGCGGCATGTTTCGTTGTACCAGGCGATTAAGCGTGGCAATGGAGGCTGGCAAGTTGTTTCCTCTTGTTTGGCCTAATTAGGTGACATGGAAGAGGAAACATCTTAGTCGTGGGCGGGAGGTCAGACGGCAAGTCCGTAGGAGCCCCGAAAGACCTGATGAGGGCAAAAACCAACACGACTGGGGTGTCCGGAGGACGGAAAACGTGTGGCAGTCCGCTTGGAGAAGGCTAACAAGGTTTCAGACAGGTTCTGAATTGCTTGAAGTAAGGCCTTGTCCTGATTGGATTTTTTGTTTGGTAGCTGACAGAGCTATGATAGGACATATCGTCACCGACACCACGAAGTAACACTCTACCGTGTTAAAGCATATTTTTTTTTCGATTTTCAGTTTTTTTGATTTTTAAACATTATTCATCAAGGCCTTCCATTGCACGAAGTTTCAAAGCTTCAAAAGCTTTACTTTAATAATTACGCTAAGTATCCATGGCAACTTTTGCGCAAAGTAACACTCAAGTTCCATTTTCCATTGCAATGCATGGCGCGCACTCTGTTCATAAGTGAGCAAAAACGTTTTCACGAAGTAAAACTCTTCTTGTAACAAGTTGTATGAGCGCGCGCGCGCTGACCTGAAGTTGCTTTTTCCTCGTGTTAAATACATTGAAGAGTGTTACTTCGTGAACACGAAAATTTACAGTTTCGCAGCTTTTTCGGTTTCACGAACTAACACTCATCTTTTTTCTCTTATTTCTTGTTTATTTAATGCACAAACGAGTGAAAAACAGCAGATTTAATAAATTCAATCCATCAAGTGTCCACAACGAGAAACCCAACTGGAAATACTCTGTCGTTTTGACGCAAAGTGTTGTTTTAGAAGGCGTTCAACTTTAGTTGCCGTTTTCTCCGATTGCTAGTTTTTACTGGTATGTAGATTGGTGTTACTTCGTGGTGTCAGTGACTATATCTGTCGACTTACGTTTCTTCTTGGACTTCTGAGGAGAATCAGTCTGAGATTGGAGAGGGACCCCAGAGGCAGCAGGGAACTTTGACGTCAATGAACCATCAGAGAAACCAAAGGCTGGCGGTGAGCTAAGTTGAATCACGGCCCGGGCAGGCGGGGCCCTGGCACCCAGATTGCCAGGTATTGGGGCCATAAATACGGCCGACGATGCCGGTGGAGTATAGCGTCGCACCATGTAATTGTGAGATAACGAAACCGCCGGTTAACACATGTAACGGCTTTCGTTATGAAGGCAAAGCACCGACTTATTCGGTGCAGTGTGAGCGATTTTTTTAAATGTAAAATATCACGCTGACTGGTCTGGAAGTCATGCGGTTAACAACTTGCAGTCAATGTTGAGAAGTTGGTCAACGTCTTTCAACAAAGCTATGAAACGAAACTGCCCGTAAAAAATAACGGCGTTTGTTTTGAAGATGACAACACCGACAATTCGATTTGGCGTGAGGGATTTGTTAAGTAGCGAAATATCATGTTGACTGGTCAGTATAATTTGTGGCGTAGGAGGTAACAACTTGGTCAATACAAGCACATTGGTCAATACAGCTGTAAATGAGATAACGAAACCACCGGTAAAAATAACGGCGTCCGTTTTGGAGGCAAAAACACCGAAAATTTTAGGGATTTGCTAATTGCGAAATATCACGCTGACTGGTTGGTAAGTTGTGGCGTAGCAGTTAACAACTTCCCGTCAATACGAGGTCTCGCGCATTGATCAATATACCTCTATGAGAAAACGAAACTGCCGGTTAAATAACGGCGTTCGTTTTGAAGGTGAAAGCACCGAACATGTTCGGTGCAGCGTGAGGGATTTGCTAAGTAGGGAAATATCATGTTGATGGGTCGGTTCCTTAGTAGTGTAGGTAAGGGATGATGAGCGGCTTGCATTTAGTGCGCCGCTTTGCCCGATGCAAAGTCTCACTCGTTCGGCACAGCAACACAGCTGTGAGACAACGAAAGCTACCGGATAAATAACAGCAAATCGCCTGTGAAATAGTGTTGTACGTGTTGAAGATGAAAACACCGAGTAGTCGGTGCAGCGTGGGGGAATAACTAAAAGAGAAATATCACACTGATGGGTTAGTTACTTGTAGGGTAGGTAAGGGGCGAGTGGCTTGCAACTCGTGCAACACTCGCCCTGTGTAAATCAAGTCTCACTCGTCCGGTACAGCAACACTGCTGAGACAACGAAAACTGCCAGTTAAATAACAGGGTATCGCCGGGTAAATAACGACATTTGGTTTGAAGGCGAAGGCACCAAATATTCAGTGCCGCGTGAGCAATTGGCTAAACCGGGAATATCACTCTGATGGGTCGGTTGGTTGAAGTGTAGATTCGGGTGAGCGGCTTGCAATTCGTGCGACGCTCCCCTGGCAAATGAGCCTTGTCTGTTCGGTAAGGCGTGATTGGCTTTCAGCTCGAAATCCTTACGGTTGAAGGGTCGTAACGTACGAGCGTATACTACTTGTGAGTACCCGGCAGCCTGTGCAAGGTTTCACTTGCTGCGTACGACGTGAGCTAACTCCTCTGTGTCAACTCAGTCTCAGTCAGGAAAAGTCGTAAGTCAGGTCAGCATTCAATCGCCAAGTCATATGCTAAACCTGAACCACCTTGTGTATTGTGTAGCCAACCCCATCGATCGTGGCATTATGATAAGTTTAAAGCTATGAATCCCAAGGACAGTTTGAATATTGTGATTGTTAACCATCTTTGTCACAATAGTCTCCTCGTTTCTCATAGTACTGAATATTGTGGTAAACGATCTGTTTGTGGTGTACAAGTTTGCGGCAGAAAACATACAATGTACATTCACTGCCCTGACAAAGCCCCAGCCGAATCAAAAGGTGTCTAATGTAAGCTCCTTTATACCGATAAGGAAACCCACATGCCAATTGTTCAGGTGATGACTAACAACTCGTGCAGGGTATTTGCTTTATTGGATAGTATAGCTTGTTCTGTTCTCGGGCTTTAATAGAAAACTTGGGTTTGCAAGGGAGACCTTCACAGTTTCAGCTTAGCACAATGAACATAACGGGTGTTCTTGATCTTCAGTCTAAAGTTGGTGACTTGTCACTTAGCTCAGAAACGGTGAGAGATTTTGCTAATGAACAATGTTGGTGCAGTTGATAACATATCTGTGAAAAGTGCATCTGTGAACATTTCACATGATGCTCATTTCAGTGACATTGGTCCAATGCCTGCTTATCAGAGAACATATGATGGTGTAATTGTTGATTTACATATTGTCAGGATAATGCACAAACTCTTGTACCATTGGAAGTCCGATGCGGCAGTCCCGAGCAACCCTTCGCAGTGCGTACGTTGTTTGGATGGTGTGTGAATGGTCGGTCACCAGTCAGCTGAGTCAGTCAAAAGGTGTCTAATTTAGTGTCTTGTCTACCCATTGATTATGTCTCTAAGTTTTGGAGGATTGAAGATGAGGGCTTAGAGTTTTCTTCGTAGTCACAGGAATAGGTCTGTGATAAAGCTGTGGGACCGCGGGAACATCGGAATATTGATGGGCACTACGAACTTTCCATACCACGGAGAGACTGAGCTGAGTCCTTGCCGAACAACTTTGTCGTGGCCAAGTCCAGGCTAGATTCTCTAGACCAGCGGTTGGTTGAGGGTGGTCTGTATCCCAAGTTCAAAGAAGAGACTAACAAGCTACATTGCAAGGGTTATGCCGAGAGGGTTCCCCCAGATGAGATGACAGATGAGAGGATTTGGTATCTTTCACACCATGCAGCAATTGATAACTGACATGAAGCCTGACAAGCTCGGAGTTGTTTATAGTTGCGGGAGTCAACGAGCGTTGTCTACAGAGTCTTGATCTTGTCAACAGGTTATCGCCGGTTTTGTTACGTTTCAGACAGCACAGCGTCGCAAATCAGGCAGACATCGAAGCCATGTACAATCAGGTGAAGGTACCACTCAAAGACATGGATTCACTTAGGTTTCTGTGGCACAGCGATGATCACTTGTTGGAATATTACAAAATTACTTCCCACTTGTTCGGGGGTGTTTGGTGCGCTTCAAGTTCCACCTACGCTCTCAGTTGCACAGTCATTGATACTCCAGATGATTATCGATGACTGTCTCACAAATGTAGTTCGGTGTCCTTGAAGACTAATGCAAAGTTATTATTAAGAAAACTCCGAGGGTCCTGAGTAATGGCGGATTCAGTTTGAAGACGTTTGTCGTCAATGCTGAAGAATTGCTGAGTGAAGTGTGCGAAGATTGTGTTGCCGAGGAAGCTCGTACTTTGGGTCCTTTGTGTGAGAGTCGAGCTCTGGGTATTAAGAGGGAGCCATCCACAGATGAGTTCTTCTTCAAAGTCGGGCGTTACCAAGAGAGTCCTATCACCAGAAGGAAGATGTTGAGTGCCGTGTCGGTCTTTTAGGTCCCGCAGTACCGGTAAACTTCTGTTCCAGAAAGCTGCAGCTGACAAATTGTCTTGGGATGAAGAAGTTTCACCACAGCTTGAGATGCCTGGTATTCTTCGGTGCAGTCACGCCATGCCATGAAGCAGCTCAAGGTTCCCCGGTGTGTCAAACTACGTGAATTTGATGACACCTTCATTGAACTCCGTCACTTTTCAGATGCCAGCTCCAAAGTGTATATTATTGTTGTTGTTACATCAGGTGTGTTAACAAACATGAAATGGTGCACGTCCAGTTGATTGTCAGGAAGAAGGTGACTGCTCTATGTTCCGACACCCATATGTTCCGACAACCTAGATTGTGTTACTCCCGGTTAGGGTTAGGGTTAGGAATAGGAATATGTGCAGTCGGAACATAGGGGTGTCGGAACATTGAGGTGTAACCAGCAAGAATAGAGTTACACCGTAAAAGCAATGTACCAAATATACCACGCTTGGAATTGCAAGCCGCAGTTGAAGCTCTTAAAAACGATGCATTGTTGAGAGGCGAGTTAGATTTACACATCAACTATTTCTGGACTGATTTCGAAATTGTGCTGAAATACATAGTGATAGTAGGGGTTTCCGTGTTTTTGTTGGCAATAGAGTTGGTCTCATCAGAGAGTTGACCGATCCAGATCTATGGAATCAAATCGACAGCAAGTCTACAGGGCGAAAACACGAAACATGTCGGGACCATTGTTTAATTGAAGTTCTGCATGTAGCACTTTTAAAATCTAGGATATAAAAGCCCAATTCATAAGCTTTCTTTTAGTACATCAATCATTTAAATCACTCATGTAATTGTAAAGTTACGGAATTAAAAACACAACTACCGTTTTAAAGTTCTGTCCACGGATCACACAATGGTTCTTTAAGCAGAACGAAAAAAAAAATCAAGTCTGGAAGAAATCGTTCGAAAACCTCCCCAAATGCATGTATTAACCTCAATTTCTAGGAATCTCTCCAAATTGTTATTTCACGAGTAGTTCAACACTTATATCATATAAGAATATTCCGAATTTCAGCTTAATCTGTTGTTGCAAACGCTAGTCTACCAAGTAGAACAACTCCATGGAAAATTTCGACGAGAATTTTCTGCATACACAACCGACGTGCGGTGTTCAGCAAAGCGCCATAGGCGATACGGTTCACCGATTCCGGCCAAGCGATGGTAGATAAGCATATACATTAGCGTCACTTGGCGTGTTTTGGCGTCGGTCTCGGTATCAACCAATGGAAGCCGGCAAAAAGGGTGATATTTATCAATTAATAATTCGTGAAGGAGGCTTTTCTCCAAATGTATACTGCATACCATAATGATTAGGAACCTTATCAAAATTTGTGAGTCTTGAAAAGATTGACAGATATTGCAAACGCTAGTCTACCAAGTTTCAAAAGTGCACGTGGCCATGCCTATTTTTCCAGTTTCAACAAAAAGTAATGAACACATCACAACGATTTTTAGCACATTATTGGATCATTATTGTAGTATTATTGGTTCTTTTGTGGAATCAAGGGTTCCGAGGTCTATATTGACAAAGACTCTCCTGATGCAATGATGTACTCAGTCAACACAGGTTACTGTGGATTTCTCGGAAGATTATCAGTACTATTTTATTCTAGATGACACTCTGTTATTAATTAGGAGAATGAAAAGATTTCGGATTCCAGTCAGATTAGTTGTGGTTATTGTTTCTCCTCCCAATCATTCG